CCTCTATCAATTGGATATTAGCATTACACACACACTTCCAGTTTCGAACTGTTCTTTTGAATACTGGCACGTAGGGGAAATGGCTCTTATGTTGGCCTATGGATCTAAGGTTGGGCCCATCGCTAAAAATCTGCTGTTTATCAATTTTATCTAGATGAACGCGTTACTAATGGCAGTGCTGGTAGCGAGTCACTTTTTAGTGACTTAGTCACTTTTTTCAAGCTAGTCACTAAAAAGTCTCTTTTTTTAAGGCCAAGTCACTAAAGTCACTATTTCTTGTAATCAGTCACTATTTGAAACTTTTTTAGCATGAATTTATTTCAAGATTGATCATTCTTTGCTTCAGGCGTTTAATCGTCTTTCTCTATCTTCAGGGTGTCTATTCATTTTTCTAAACAAAATTATCTGACTTTTCCAGGTTTTTCCAGTATTTTAACGGATAAATTCCAGGTTTATAATAAAGCTAAATTTTTAAATGCGTTAAAAATATTCTTTTTTTTTGTAGATAAAAAAACAACAGCAATTTACCCAAATGTTTTTAAGACATGTCAATCAGTTTTAAAGAAACAGCTTTACAATCAAATACATTGAATGTTGAATTTTATCACTTACTTAATTTCTCACTTAATTTTTTGATTTTTTTGGGGGAATTTCAGTCCTTAAGAGCAGTTTCTGTAGCTTTAGTCCAGACTTTTGGAGCAGTTTGAATATCTATAATCGTAAATTTAGAAAAAATTCCGGACAGTTCCATGATGTGCTGAAAAAAAATCGAGAACCCTTAAGATGTTCCGAGAATTTGAGGGAAGTACAGAGTCCTTCAGAGAATTTATGAAAACTTCAGAAATATTTCAGAAACTTCACAGAAGTCCAGAGAATTTCAGGGAAATTTAAAGGTTTCTACGGGAATTCCATTTATTTCCGAGCAGCATAACCGAGATCTTCAATAGAATTGACAGTTTTATGGAAGCTTCGAGAACATCAAGACAGATTATAGAATCAAAGGGCAGTTCAAACAATTTCAAGGAAATTGTAGAAACCGTAAAGAATTTGCGAGAAACTCAAGGAATTATGAATATATATCAAACAAATTGTCGGATTATTATACAAATTAAGTGAACTTCAGGTAACCACTTATTAGTTCAGGGAAAATTAGGGACCGTTTATAATGGTTATAATACTTAAGGGAAATTGTAGAAACTTCAAGGCAAATAATTAAATTTCAGTAAAGTTGCGGGTTCTTAAAAAATACTGAAAATTCAGGGCAGTCTAGAGAACTTTAAAGAAATTCAATAATCGTTTAGGCAGTTTAAATACCACCAGGAAAGTCTAGACTATTGAAGAAGTTTTAAATAAGTGTCGATAATTTAAGGGCAGTGAACTTCAAAAAAGTCTTGAAAACTTCAATGAAAATCATAAAACTATATTACATCATTATTTCGTTCTGGGGGCGACCCCGGCGTAGTGGTTAACATACATACCTCTCACGCTAAAGTCACGAGTTCAAATCTCACCCCCGGACAAGTCACGAATGACCCAAGAGTGTTAAAGTGACTATAATAAAAAAAAAATATTTCATTCTAATTCCATGAAAATTGCGGTAGCACAAAAGTTCCAGAAATTTAGAAAAACTTCGAAAACTTCACAGAAGAACTGTGGTCTTCACAAACATTTCGAGAACTTTATAGAAATTTATGGAGCTTAAGGAGAGATCCGCGAACTTCAGGATTTTTTATGAACATTGGGGAGGCCAGTTCCTTTAGTTTCAGAAAATTAGTGGGAAGTTTAAAGCAGTTCCCAGATTTTCAGATAACTTCAGAGACGTTAAAAAGTTAATTGAGGTCTTCGCATACGTTCAGAAGCTCACTGAAGCTTAAACATTTTTAGGGCGGTTCAATTAAATTCAGCGCAATACAACAAGATTCATGAGAACTGCTAAAACTTTAGAAAAGTTTTGAGAATTTCAGAAAAGAACAAAGAACCTCAGGGCAGTTCCGTTAACATTAGAGAAGTCACATAAATTTTAAAGAAGCTTAGAGAACTTCAGCGAATTGTTAAACTTTTAGAGGAAATCTATGATCATTGAAAACAATTAGGAAACTTTAGAAAGTCCTAAAAAGTTCAGGGAAGTTTAAGACTTTCTTGAGAGGTATTGTGAGTCTCAGGCTAGTTTCTCAAACTACAAAAGAACTTCAAGGCAGTTTCATTAACTTCAGGAAAAATTGGGAACTTTCAAGTGGTTCTGAAAACCTCAGAATAATCCATTCCATATTCTACGGAGATTTCCATTGAAATATTCCTTAAAATTTTGGTGAAGCTATCCTCCGAATTCAATGTTCTTTTAGAGGAGATCCATGATCATTGAAAACAATTAGGAAACTTTAGGAAGTCCTAAAAAGTTCAGGGAAGTTTAAGACTTTCTTGAGAGGTATTGTGAGTCTCAGGCTAGTTTCTCAAACTACAAAAGAACTTCAAGGCAGTTTCATTAACTTCAGGAAAAAATTGGGAACTTTCAAGTAGTTCTGAAAACCTCAGAATAGTCCATTCCATATTCTACGGAGATTTTCATTGAAATATTCCTCAAAATTTTGGTGAAGCTATCCTCCGAATTCAATGTTCTTTTAGTTTTCCTTGGAATTCTTCACAATAAGAAACACTTTCGAAAGATTCTCCGAATATTCTTTGAATTCATTTCAGATTTCCTTTTCAATCTCACTCCTTCCCTTGGAATTCTACTCACATTGAAAGTCTCCTAAGAATTCATTGGCATTTCTCCTCACAAATTACTTTGATTTCTTCTCATAATTTGTTTGGCAAACTCTCCTGAATTCATTTTCCGAATTCCTTCGAAGATGTCCTGGAGTTATTCTCAGATTTAATTGTAATCCTCCTTTAGTATTTTCAAAAAAAAATCCAAGGACTTATGCTCCGGAGTCGTTTTCTCCCACAAACTTTATGAAATTATGCTCAGAATGCCCTTGGAATTTTCCTCTGAAGCTCCTCAGAAATTCCTAAGAATTTTCATTAAAATTGACTTTTAGGTCATTTTTAGTCACTATTTTTACAACTATAAGTCACTATTTGGTCACTTATTTCATCAAAATGGTCACTAAAATCACTATTTTTAACAGCAGTGATTGCTACCAGCCCTGTAATGGACATTTTGGTCGCTATTGAAAATTTAGTCGATTGCTGAATTTATGTATGGGCCCAAATTAGGGCCGACATTACATTTAGTTTTATTTTTTATTTTTCAAATTGTAAAAAGTTTTTGGACAGCTCTCCCCATGTTAATTTGATCCTCCAATCCATGGGTTCCGTAGTTTTGTCTTTCTCTAAGCTTTGCATCTCATTTCGTGATTCACCAATTTAGTTGACTTCTGGGTGGAGCTTCACAAAAAAATGAAAGAGGTTTTAACGACAAACCAAGACCTCCGTGTTCAAGATGATCTCCATCTGGATTGGCTCATCTTCCTGGAACATTTCTTACACTTTTTCGCTTTTCCCTGCGCCAATCCATGTCGTCTTAATCCAAGACAGCATTGGAATTGTCACTATGCACTGGATCCGTCCAAGTCCGCATTCTGTGGCACAGCTTTGACCTTCCGGCGTTTACAGTGCTGTTTAAACGAGAAACGACAGTTCTTCGGGTAGCTGAACGATTCACGTAAATCGATCCGGCAGGGTCCTAGAAAATGGCAATTCACAGCAACGATTTAAATCTCTTCGAGGTGCTGCTTTCATCAGAAATCCGCTTCCTTTCTCACAACGCATCCTTATGACTTTGGAAAAAGACTTTTTCTCTGGGCGTTTTCCTTTTCAACCGACCGAAAAAAAAATTCAACGAGTTAACGACGATCACTTCTTATCCACACGAGGAGCCCAATTATGCAGCAAAACCAATGATCTTAGCGAAGCGTCCGGGAGAATGTAAAAATCAACGCGACCCTAAGAAATTTTAGTTTAGGTAGGTTCAAAAAAAAATACTTAAACGTCACTGCAGATGAAAAAGTGCGTTCGATCCCATCCGCAGCCCATTTCGATCTTTCAAATGAGTTTCCCACTAAATATCCGTATTGAATATAGCATTTATATTTGTATTTTATCAACAAGGCTAAAAATGCACTATACTGTATAGAAATGACCAAGTGGCTGTAATCGAACTATTTAGTTGAAATATACTTTCAGATTTAAGCAAAAGTTGGCGCTGGAGCGTTGCAAATGAAGATGATTTTTTACAACTGTCGACCAGAAAAATTTGGGATTGATATCGTGAAAAATGCGGGAAGTAGCCACCCTGATGTTTTTGCATGTGCTCCGATTGCATTAGAAAAGTTGCAAACACGTTCTGTCATCATCCAATGATGATCATTTTCATTTAGTGACAAGTGACAGCAGCTATTTTGTCAATATCGCCTTGGATTAGTGAGATGTTGCTACATTGTTTTGAACACTCATTGCACCCATGGATAAAAGCTTGAATATATAGTGATTATCCATGGAAATCTAAATTGACTCGTGTAAGACTAATGTTACCAATTTCAGCATACCATTTTCCTCAGTGTACAACTCAAACTGGAACCACGAAACGTCCCATCATCGAACCATTCGAATCAAAGCAAAGCATGAATAATTACCTGTAGGTAACCTGCGCCATCGTCACAGTCACACAGACGTAATCTGTATCTCCCATTCATGCAGCCGAAAACATACCTGTTGCACCTTGTCCCAAAACAACCATAAAACCATACATATTTCAGCACATACAATATTTGTTAGCAATTGAGTGAGAGAGAGAAAAAAATAAAGCACACAACCCAGCTCGGCAGCAGAGTTGACACAGCCAAATCAGTCAATCGTGCGTACGTGCGTGGAAAAAGCTCAGCCAAATGTGAAATTCAAACTATGTGTTCGCGCTTAAGAGAGAGTTTTAAGCAAAACAAAAGAAACCGAAAATCGAATAAAATCGTTTTTTTTTCTTCTTCTGCTGCTGTACACAAAAGCATGTGCGATCGTTAAAGTATCTTTCGATGTGAGAAGAATGAAACTGGGAACCTCGAACCGCGTTGAATAACTAATTTGAGTGTGAGTGTTTTTGGAATAGGTAAAATGAATGTGAAGTATTTGCCACTCGTCGAGTAAGTGCAGTGAAATAATGAAGTCATCGTCATTCAAAATGGGCTGATCGGTTTTGCGTAAAAATGTTGCTCACGTTGTAACCGAATTGCCTCCACATGCGTCACTAAACGGAAGATCCGTCCGTGCCAGTGCATCTTTTTCCTGTTTGCGCGTTTCGTTGATTGATTGGTGGTTTTTGAAAGCATATCATCATTATAACTGACTATACGCACGAAGAGGAAGCACTCGCGTGTGGCCAGAGAACGGCAAGAATCTGGAAAATTTGAAATTAATACCCGGCGAAGGATAGACAAATTAGCAACAAATAGCACAGCACTGCCGTCTCGACGGTCGACTGTGGCGGCTCTCAACGGTACCAGGAAGGAGAACGAAAAACCAGCAGAAGAATGGACGACAATGAGAACTATTTGGAGGTAATTTGTCCTACTTAACTATGTGGTGGTTGTTTTGAATATGCAGCGCACGTGAACCGAGGATCGCTTCCAATAAGTCAACATTGTTTGGTAATTCAGGTATTTCGCAGCAAGATGAATGTCAATGTTTCGTTTCAACGTAGCTCCCCCAATTATGACCTAATTTAAGTCGTCCACGTTTTATTGCTTGCCTTTGTTTTCGCTTCTGCTTCGAGTGCGTTACTTCTTGTACGCACGATACAACCTATAAAAATAACAGTGACAATCGTGCGGTATGCTTAAAGTTTCACTTTTTTCCATTTCTTTATAGTATCCAAAAATGAACTTTTCCCAGTTCTCGTCGCCATTTGGCGGTGCCTTGGCAGCGAACCAGTTTACCACGGCCAAATTTCCGCAGAATCTCGCCACGGCCAATGGGCAGGTATGTTATCAATGTAAAAAGGTTTCTTATTGTTTATCAGGTAGATCGAAGAAAATAATAGCAGAAGATAATGTTGACTGTTTACAATATACTACCTTGATATAATACAAAATATAATACTACACATTCATGAAGGACTAATTATTTCAAACAAGGAGAAATGCGCTTTGAAATATAGTAATGACCCGACATTGTCAGAATTCTATTATTCAGTATTTTTAAATAATCGTAATTCCAAATCATTCTCAATCATCTTCAAGATGGATGTTTAAGGTATACTTTGGTGCTGCATGACCACTTAAAAAGTGCATGGTCTTCGTGGAACATTAGAAAAGATTTTCAAAAACGTGACCATGTCGCTATAAATCGATGGAAACGCATGGTAGTCTAGTCGCATACCAAGTAACAATTCAGCAACCATTTGGCAGGCATCTACTCCGATTTATGATCGTTTTATAATGGCAATGAACAATCTATTTAGTTTAAATACATCATTTTAAAGTGAAATAACTTTTTGCAGTTTTAAAAACCTTTTAGAGTCTGAGCATGAGCATCAGCATGTGTAAAAACTGGTGATCTCAAACTAGGAAATCCCAACGCCGGCCGCGCCCGAACACAGGTCAAGAAAGGAAGGGATAGGAATGTGTTGACGTGACACTCGCTTTGATGGAAGCCGAGAACACCTCTGCACTTCCACGAGGAATCACTGGGATGTTGGATAAGAGGGTTGGGTTTGCAGCAGGGTTCGTTTTGGTAAACGATAAGCTGAATTGATGTCCTAACGATCATATAACGCGAAGGAGCTTGGGATTGAACCCACGGTCTTCTGTGCAGTAAGCAAAAACGTTTGCCACTAGGCAAACGAGCTCCTTTTTAATCATCGGGTTGCTGTTATTACCATGTAGTCATGCTTGAGATTAGACTCATGATGTTCTGCTCAGTAAGCAAAAACTGTTGCACTAAGGCCACCGAGCCCCTCATATCACATTATACCGTAACTCAAGTTGTTATAGCTATTCAAACCTGGCACCGACGACAATGAAAAGTGTTACAAAATACACGATTAACAAGCGATCTTACCATACATTTTTTATATGAATGGACCTGGTACCGTGTTTTTCTGCTCAGTAAGCAAGCCACTGCCACCGACGAACTAAAAGCTACGAAAGAGTACTTAGGACTTCATTAAGTTCCACTTTCACGCGACGTTCAATGTTTCGATTTGCTCTTTACGCATGGTTCAGGCAATCATAACAAGTTATGACCGACGTGACGATTGTGTAAGCCCTGGTTAAACAAGCTATTCAAATGAAATTACGTTCTCGAATTTCACTTGGTTTGTAATGAATAACAGAAATACGCGATAATTCATATAGTTTCAGCGGTTGATGGTTATTTTTAAATATACTAACGGTACTGCCTATGGTGACTACGATGGCACCTACGACAACGACAACAGCGAATTTGTAATTTACCATTTGTCTAGGATATAACACCTTTGCCCGGCACCTCCACTTGAGCTTCATGTCTGCTATCCGTCACTGTTTTCAAAAATATTTAAAAGCAATTAACTTTGCTGTAATACTTCCTGCATTGCCATGGTCATCTGGGAGGAGGTTCGCGTCTAGTGCTTTCCCCACGAACCGTTCACGACCACCAGCTACCGTCCGTCTAGTCTTGGGCGTATCCAGCGAGGCATCCTTCAGCTTGCTCACAAACGCCGACACTGGCGAGAGACCAGCAGACGAGCACTTTTGCAAACCGTAAACTCGCTGATTCACGGCAACTTCGACCACCAAATCACCACCAAAACTCGTGACGGACACATTATCAGCACATTCCCCGGCTAATTTACCAACCGGACCGTGTTCAAACTCACACACGGGACGATACTCTCGATAGAACTACACGCCGAAAGCGTGACATCTGACCACGGAGAACCAGCCTCCCAGGAGGCAATGAAATTCGCAAGTACACTTACACACTGCTGGTTACGAAAAACACACCCGTGTAAAGAAACGGATCCAATAAACGTCACTCTCGCGAAAGCACCCGTCGTCTTCGAACGTCAATTACGGAATTTTCACTGAAAATCAACCGGGAATGCACGAATTTCACCACACCCAACTGCGCAACAAGTTCAGACGCACTTTCGATACACTTTCGGTCGAAAATCCTTATTTTTTTGCAAAAATAGTTGCGAGCGAACCAACACCAACACCGACCGTGCCGAGCTCTTTCGCGCACCTTACAGCGCGTAAATAAACTGAAATCTCTTCTGATGGTTGCAAACATGATGAATCACGTTTTCTTTGTCGATTCCAAAACTTCCCGGAAAGCGAGAAAACCACCAATCACACACGTATAACCGTCCGGGAGGCAGAGTGCCAGCGCTAATCCGGCAAATGCAGCCGAAAACTATTGTCGTTTTCGTTTTTACTACACTACACTGGTGTAGTGTAAGCAGCAATAAGCGTGAGTCATTGACAGCTCATCATTTGTTTGTTTGTAAACAAAGGTGCAACCGATAGCTACACCCTGATTTTTTTCGGTGTTCGGCGGTGTAGCACCGGTGTAGCTACACCGCAAAAACGAAAACGACATATGAAAGCGAACGCACGCACAAAAAAAAGAACTAACTTAAAACCCAATCGTATCCAAAGGGGCTCGAAACTGCACTCACTTTTTGCAGTTTTAGAAACCTTTTATAGTCTAGTGAGAAAGTCAAAAATTGTCTTTTTTTTTGCTCAGAAGCATATTCTCCGCAGAATACTTGAAGTTCTTTGCACCACTCTCATGGAATTATTCAACGCATTCCTAGGTAATGCAATTCAGAACACCATATCTCCTCAACCAGAAATTCCTTGGAATTCATCTCAGAATTCCTAAGGACATTATCTCGTAATTACCTCGCAAACCTAGTCAGAACTCCCTTGAGATATTTTCCAGAATTTTTAAATAAATTTAAAGCAGCTCTCAATATCTCCATAAAACTGTTCTGTAATTCAATCGTAAACTTCTTTAGCAATTGTGTATTAATGTCTTGATAAAATACTCTATAAATGTGTGCTATCATTATTAAAGCAACCATAAAACCAATAAAAGCATATATTGTTGCTTTTTAGGCTTTTTAAAGTGTATCGTGAAAACCCCAATTACTCTGTTTACTAATTGATGGATCCTCATAGCGAATAAAAGCCAAATTTATGACAAGGAAATCTCGAAGGATAGACGAAGTAGGATGAAAAATTCAAGCGATACTAACGACCGAAATCAATTTCAGCCAAATTAACTTCTTTACAAGAACCAGTACGTCCGGCTGAACCGGTACCATCAACGACTGAGCATCTGGCGGACAAGAGTGAAGTGAGCGTGGCCCTCGGATTCTTAAAATATTGTTAGATTTGGTTAGGTTTTCTTTATTTGACTTGTAGCTCAGATAAAATATTGTCAATACAGTCTAAAAGCAGACCAGCCTTCTCCAGATGAGCTTGCAAACATATGACGATCGGAATAACTTGCATTTGAACTGGCAGCAAACTAGCGGTGGGCAAAACAGCTCATCTAGCTGAGCAAATCTGAACCGTCCAGCTCACTAAGGGGAGCCGATTATTGTAACAGTAAACCATTAAACCATTAGTTGCCTAGTGTAGCTCCACTTAAGGCCATTTCTTACTCTCTCTCTCTCTCTCTCTGCCTGGATCCACCCGGGACCACGGTGAAGCGACTATTTTGAAGGCACTGGCACTTCTCATACTCTCAGTGCTAGCTGGCGTTGCTAGATCGCTGCTCCTCTCTCCATTCCAAGTGCCGTCGACATTTTCGACGTTAAGGATCTCCCTTCGCACTGTATCGCACCTTGGACATGCTCCGGCGTTAAATTCACGTTTCGCTGCGTGTCCGAACCGATGAAGGTATTTCCTGAGGCAGCCGTGGCTAGACAGGAACTGCTTCCGGTGGTGGTTGACTTCTCCGTGTTTTCTGTTCCACTCCTATTGCCACTTTGCCAAAGACTCCACTTTCACCTTTCCGTACTCTACCGGCTTCTCTCCGACTGTAGCACTCGTTGTCCTCCGCCGGGTGATGCCGATAGGGATCATTCCGGCGATAGCGCATACTGCTTCCGATGAGATGGTTCTGTATGCACTCACGACTCGCATGCCCATGAGCCGGAACGTACTGCTCAGTTTCCTTTGGTTCTGCTTCGTTTCCAGCGCTGCAAACCAGACTGGACCTCCATACCTCAGTATCTAGCCAGAAGACGCCTCTTGATATTGCTAGGAATATGGCCTTCCAAGTATTCTCACAGACATATTCGACATGGCTGTTGAAGTTTAGCCGGTCATCGATCATCACTTCCAGATATTTCAACGCGCTCTTCGAGGCAAAGGCGTGCGTTGGACCAAGGATGGAGCCTCGTGGAACTCCCGTTGGATCCTAATCGATCTCTGTCCCATATCTGTCTCGTAGACCAGAACCAGGCTCTGGAAGCAACTCCTCAGAATCCTGCGCAGATAGTCGGGGACCCTCATTCTATGCAGCGCTTTGGCAATGGCTTTTCAGCTGCGCTGTGGAACGCATTCTTGACGTCGATCGTTATCACGGTGCAATATCGATCTCCTCTTTGCTTCTGTTTGGACGCCTTCTCGGCTCTCTTGACCATTGTCCAACAATTGTATCCACCGTTGATCTCCCTCTCCGACAATCCAAATGAAATGAAATGGTTTTTATTTTGATTATTTTTATAAGATCGGATAATATGTATGAATCCTTTCATATCTTGATTGATGCTTTTCTAGTGGATTTAGCAAGCGGCTAGGGAAAATGGCTCGAAAAAGGTTTTTTTTTTTATAGTTGCCAAGTTCAAGATAATGAAAATATTCAAAATGCCAGAATTAAGTAAAAAAAATAAATGATTTATTTCAAGTTCGTAATTAACTTTATGAAAGACTAGAGATCTTCAATGCAGTTCAATTAACTTTATAACAATTGTAGGAATT